AGGGGAGGTGGAAACCCGACAACGAGCCAGACGGAACCGCCGGACAAGGGAGGACAGTGGTGGACTGGGCAAGGACTGGGCCCCCAGAGGGGTCAGCCAAGGAGACTGGGACCGGTGCAGGAAGCGGTGTGAGCTCAGTACTGTCACGGAAGAAGCAACGGGAAGCACCTGAGTCAAGGGTGAAGGTGTGACAGGCCTCAGCCGGTGCGGTACCTGAGAGAGCAGTCTCGAAACCAGCCGGGACAGCACTGGGGGGAGCAAGTACAGGGGGCACCATACCAGAGAGAGCAGACTCACTAGTACCCAGGGCAGCGGGCTCTATACCTGGGTCAGGCGGCACACACAAGTAACAGTCTCCCTCGGCACTAACAGTCAATGCATACATGGCAGCAATAATAGCATCATAGTCAAGAGCAAAGACATCAACACCAGCCCTCATGAGCTCAGCCCAGCGGGGGCGCTCAACATCCGCACCCATCTCCTCACGCCAAGCGTCGTCAAGGCGGGAGAAGCAGCGGTACGGGGTGTGGAACCTCCCACACGTCTGTCCCTTGCGGTCACCTGTGCGAATGACATAAGAACAGCGGCCACTGGCCCCCGACGTCCCACGCTGAGCAAGCCACTCACGAAGCTGCTGGGTCGTCTGGGGACGCTGCTGCTGCTGGGAGCTCTGGCCCGAGCCAGTGCCTCCACTCCGACCTCCGCCGCCACCACTACCACCGCTCCGACCGCCACCGCCACCACCGCCACCACCGCCACCGCCGCCACCGCCGCCGCCGCCACTACTGCCACTGCTTCCTCCGCCGCCCCCGCCTCCACCACCGACCCCACTCCCACCAGCGCTCCCGCCACCGCTCCCTCCAGCACCGCCTCCCCCCCCACCTCCCCCACCTCCTCCCCCCCCAGCGCCACCACCACCACTTTTGCCCCCCTTGCCCTTGCCGGTGCGGCGCCTCCCACCAGGAGTAGAAGCAGCGCCAACAGACTCAGCACCAAGGAAGTCAACAGCAGCAGCAGCAGCGTAGGAGGGAGCGAGGGGAGAGGGAGAACACCCCTCAAAGATGGGGGTGCGAGGAGCGCCACGAGCAGCACCGACAGCTACAATGCTCTTTTCGGCCGCGAGCAGGTGCTCCTCTAGGAGGGCGACTGTGAGCTCAGTGGGACAGCGAGCAAGGAAGTGGTCTCGAACTGAGCGGAGGGTGTCAGGGAGACGGGTGACTATGAAGTGGAGTGTCCAGTACAGTGGAGGGGGGTTCTTAGCGCAGAACTCGGTGGGAAGGGCGGCACGCAGGCGAGCATCACTAGTGCGAAGGTGGGTGATAAGATCGGCGACTGTAGTAAAGGTGGACAGATCGGGGAACAGGTACGGCAGCATGAGGCGGCTAAGCTCGGCTGTGGCAGGCGAGGAGTAGCGAGCGACGACAGCGTCGTACAGGGCCTTAGCGGATTTGCAGTCGCCAAAATGCTCGAGCTCAGCTAGCGGGAGGTGACTGCGAATGGCTAGGCGAGCAGCTGCGTCACGAGTCTGCCAGTGGGAACGAACACTAAGCTCGGCTGTGGCAGCAGGAGCAGCGGCAGCACCAGACGCGTAGTCATAGAGGGAGATGTGGTCCGTGCTATTGCTCATAAGATACAACTGCAGGTCGTCGAGCCAGGAAGTGAACTGCACGGGACGGCCCTCAGCATCGAAGGAAAGAACGCGAATAGAGGCCATAGCTCAGGCGTGAGGGCACAGCAGAGCAGCAGCAGCAGCAGAGGGGACACGCTAGAGCGAAGCTAGTAGCCACAGCAGGAGAAAGCGGCAGTGCACAGGCAGGGAGCAGCAGGTGAGAAGCGCGGCGGGCTGCGAAGCGGGCAGCGGTGTGGGCGGGCGACGCAGCAAGCGGGCAGTGAGGCAGCGGGCGGCGCTGCGAAGCAGGTAGCGGGCGAGCGGGCGGCGCTGCGAGCGGGCAGCGAAGCGGGCGGGCCGCGAAGCGGGCAGCTAGCGGGCGGGCGGGCTGCGAAGTGGGCGGGCTGCGAAGCGGGCAGCGGGGCGAGCGGGCTGCGAGGCGGGCGGGCCGCGAAGCGGGCAGCGGGCGGGCGGGCGGGCTGCGAAGCGGGCAGCGGGGCGAGCGGGCTGCGAAGCGGGCGGGCCGCGAAGTGGGCAGCTAGCGGGCGGGCGGGCTGCGAAGTGGGCGGGCCGCGAAGCGGGCAGCGGGGCGAGCGGGCTGCGAGGCGGGCGGGCCGCGAAGCGGGCAGCGAGCGGGCGGGCGGGCTGCGAAGTGGGCGGGCCGCGAAGCGGGCAGCGAGCGAGCGGGCTGCGAAGCGGGCGGGCCGCGAAGCGGGCAGCGAGCGAGCGGGCTGCGAAGCGGGCGGGCCGCGAAGCGGGCAGCGAGCGGGCGGGCGGGCTGCGTAGCGAGCGGGCCGCGAAGCGGGCAGCGAGCGGGCGGGCGGGCTGCGAGCGGGCGGCTCGGCGAGGGGCGCGCGAGGGCGCTAGCAAGGGGCGCGCGAGGGCGCTAACGAAGGGGCGCGCGAGGGCGCTAACGAAGGGGCGCGCGAGGGCGCTAACGAGGGTGCGCGCGAGGGCGCTAACGAGGGGCGCGCGAGGGCGCTAACGAGGGCGCACGAGGGCGCTACGAGGCTAGGGCACGGGGTAGCGTGGTAACCGCATGCGAGCGGTGGTGGGCCCTTAAAAAAAAAACGGTCGGTAGGTCCTAGGGACCTCCTGCTCTGAATACCATTTCAGAATAACTAGGCAAGAATGATGAACTAACAGAAGTTTGGGTACAAATATGAAACCCTAGTTGGGGTTGTACCCCATATTGGCTACCCCACTACAGCCTACAAGCATAATACAGTTTAACAAGTGGGACACACGTTTGTGCGCGTTTGGAGCTGAGAACCATCCTGAACGACGCGTGGGGGTATGGCGAGCAGGATCGGGCGAAAAAATCACGGGCGATTCACACTTTTCTACACCGGTGCGGATAATTTCGCGTTCTCGAGGAAAAATGACTCAAAACGCCCCGGGGGGGCACAAAGGGGGTGGAATGCACGTTTGTGCGCGTTTGGAGCTGAAAACCGTCCTGAACAGCGCGTGGGGGTATGGTGAGCAGGATCGTGCGAAAAAATCTCAGGCAATTCGCACGTTTCTACACCGGTGCGGATTCTACCGCGTTTACGAGGAAAAAATGGCTCAAAACACCCGGGGCGGGCCCGCGCAAAGGGGGTGGGACGCACGTTTGTGCATGATGGAGCTAAGAACCATCCTGAATGACCCGTGGGGGTATAACGAGTAGGATCGTGCGAAAAAAATCCCATGCGATACGCACTTTTCTACAGCGTGCGGATCGTTTCGCGCGTTTGAGCAAAAATGGCTCAAAGCGTCCGGAGCGGGCCCGTCCCAAAGGGGGTCGGACGCATGTTTGTGCGTGTTTGGAGCTGAAGCCCATCCTGGATGGCGCGTAGAGGTATGGTGAGAATGATCGTGCGAAAAATTCCCGTGCGATTCGCACATTTCTACAGCGGTGCAAAAATGGCTCGAAGCGCCCGGGGCGGGGCCCAAATCAGAGAGAAGGGGATAGAATCAGGGAGAAGGGAATGGAATCAGGGAGAAGGGGATGGAATCAGGGAGAAGGGGATGGAATCAGGGAGAAGGGGATGGAATCAGGGAGAAGGGGATGGAATCAGGGAGAAGGGGATGGAATCAGGGAGAAGGGGATGGAATGAGGAAGAAGGGAATGGAATCAGGGAGAAGGGGATGGAATCAGGGAGAAGGGAATGGAATCGGGGAAAAGGGGACGGAATGAGGGAGACGGAGATGGAATGAGGGAGAAAGGATGGAATTAGGGAGAAAGGGATGGAATGAGGGAGAAGGGGATGGAATGAGGGAGAAGGGGATGGAAACAGGGAGAAGGGGATGGAAACAGGGAGAAGGGGATGGAAACAAGGAGAAGGGGATGGAATCAGGGAGAAGGGGATGGAATCCGGGAGAAGGGGATGGAATAAGGAAGAAGGGGATGGAATCAGGGAGAAGGGGATGGAATCAGGAAGAAGGGGATGGAATCAGGGAGAAGGGGATGGAATCAGGAAGAAGGGGATGGAATCAGGAAGAAGGGGATGGAACCAGGGAGAACGGGATGGAATCAGGGAGAAGAGGATGGAATCAAGGAGAAGGGGATGGAATGAGGGAGAAGGGGATGGAAACAGGGAGAAGGGGATGGAAACAAGGAGAAGGGGATGGAAACAGGGAGAAGGGGATGGAAACAAGGAGAAGGGGATGGAATCAGGGAGAAGTGGATGGAATCAGGGAGAAGGGGATGGAATCAGGGAGAAGGGGATGGAATGAGGAAGAAGGGGATGGAATCAGGGAGAAGGGGATGGAATCAGGGAGAAGGGGATGGAATCAGGGAGAAGGGGATGGAATCAGGGAGAAGGGGATGGAATGAGGGAGAACGGGATGGAATCAGGAAGGAGATAGAATGAGGGAGAAGGGGATGGGATCAGGGAGAAGGGGATGGAATGAGGGAAAAGGGGATGGAATCAGGGAGAAAGGGCTGGAGTCAGGGAGAAGGGGATGGAATGAGGGAGAAGGGGATGGAATCAGAGAGAAGGGGATGGAATCAGGGAGAAGGGGATGGAATCAGGGAGAAAGGGATGGAAACAAAAAGAAGGGGGTGGAAATAGTGAGAAGGGGATGGAATGAGGGAGAAGGGGGTTGAATGAGGGAGAAGGGGATGGAATGAGGGAGAAGGGGTGGAATGAGGGAGAAGGGGATGGAAACAGGGATAAGGGAATGGAATCAAGGAGAAGTGGAGGGAATGAGGGAGAAGGGGATGGAATGACGGAGAAGGAGATTGCATGAGGGAGAAGGGGTTGGAATCATGGAGAAGGGAATGGAATCAGGCAGAAGGGGATGGAATGAGGGAGAAGGGGATGGAATGAGGGAGAAGGGGATGGAATGAGGGAGAAGGGGATGGAATGAGGGAGAAAAAAATGGAATCAGGGAGAAGGGGATAGAATCAAGGAGAAGGGGATCGCATCAGGGAGAAGGGGATGGAACGAGGGAGAAGGGGAAGGAACGAAGGAGTAGGGGATGGAACGAGGGAGAATGGGATGGAATGAGAGAGATGGGATAGGAATGAGGGAGAAGGGGATGGAATGAGGGAGAAGAGGATGGCATCAGGGAGAAGGGGAGGAAACGAGGAAGAAGGGGAGGCAACGAGGGAGAAGGGGAGGGAACGAGGGAGAAGGGGATGGAACGAGGGAGTAGGGGATGGAATGGGGGAGAATGGAATGGAATGAGAGAGATGGGATAGGAATGAGGGAGAAGGGGATGGGATGATGGAGAAGGGGATGGAATGGGGGAGAAGGGGATGGAATGAGGGAGAAGGGGATGGAATGGGGGAGAAGGGGATGGAACGAGGGAGAAGGGGATGGAACGAGGGAGAAGGGGATGGAACGAGGGAGAAGGGGATAGAATGAGGAAGAAAGGGATCGAACGAGAGAGAAGGGGATGGAATGAGGGAGAAGGGGATGGAATGATGGAGAAGGGGATGGAATGGGGGAGAAGGGGATCGAACGAAGGAGAAGGAGATGGAATGGGGGAGAAGAGGACAGAATGGGGGAGAAGGGGATGGAATGAGGGAGAAGGGGAGGGAATTATGGAGAAGGGGATGGAACGAGGGAGAAGGGGATGGAACGAGAGAGAAGGGGATGGAACGAGGGAGAAGGGGATGGAATGAGGGAGAAGGGGAGGAAACGAGGAAGAAGGGGAGGGAACGAGGGAGAAGGGGATGGAATGAGGGAGAAGGGGAGGGAACGAGGGAGAAGGGGATGGAACGAGGGAGAAGGGGATGGAACGAGGGAGTAGGGGATGGAATGGGGGAGAATGGGATGAAATGAGAGACAAGGTACTGGAATGTGGGAGAAGGGGAGGGAATGAAGGGAGAGGATGGAACAAGGAAAAAGGGGATGGAACGAGGGAGAAGGGGATGGAAAGAGGGAGAAGGGGATGGAGTGAGGGAGAAGGGGATGGAATGGGGGAGAAGGGGATGGAATGGGAGAGAAGGGGATGGAATGAGGGAGAAGGAGATGGAATGGGGGAGAAGGGGATGGAATGAGGGAGAAGGGGAGGGAATGAGGGAGAAGGGGATGGAATGAGGGAGAAGAGGATGGAACGAGTGAGAAGGGGATGGAACGAGGGAGAAGGGGATGGAAGGAGGGAGAAGGGGATGGAATGAGGGAGAAGGGGAGGAAACGAGGAAGAAGGGGAGGGAATGAGGGACAAAGGGATGGAATGAGGGAAAAGGGGAGGGAACGAGGAAGAGGGGGAGGGAACGAGGAAGAAGAAGATGGAATGAGCTGATTCGCAATCTTTCTACACCGGCCCGGACGCATTCGCGTTTTGTCCCAAAAATGCCCCGAAGCAGCCAATATGGGACCATTCACAGAAGTGGTGGCGGCGTGCTTGTGCGCCTTTGGTGCCGAGACCACATGCAAGGTGGGAGGGGGTGTGGCGAGCACGAGCGTGCAAAAAAATCCTTGGTCGCTTCGCAATTTTTCTACACCGTTTGGCCCTAAAGAGGGCCCGGAATGTTCAGTATGGTCCCGTTCAAAGGTTTTTGGGCTACGCGCTTGTGCGCGTTTGGAGTCAAGATCACATGCAAGGTGGGAGGGGATTTGGCGAGCACGAGCTTGCGCAAAAACCCATGGTTGATTCGTAATCTTTCTATACCAGTCCGGATGCATTCGCGTTTTGCTCCAGAAATGGTACGGAACGCTCTAAATGGGCCCATTTAAAGGGGTGGGGGCAGCGCATTTGTGCGTGTTTGGAGCCGAGACCACATGCAAGGTGGGAGGGGGTTTGGCGAGTATGAGCATGCGCGAAGCCTGCCAGCTGATTCACAATTTTTTTTATACATGTCCGGACGCATTCGCGTTTTGCCCCAGAAATGACCCGGAACGCCTAGTATGGGCCAGTTCAAAGGGGTGCGGTGCGTTTGTGCGCGTTTTGAGCCGAGATCACATGAAAGGTGGGAGGGTGTGTGGCGAGTACGAGCGTTTGCAAAAACTGCCGGCTGATTCTCATTTTTTTTCTACACCGGTCCCGATGCATTTGCGTTTTGCCCCAGAAATGGACTGGAATGCCCACTATGGGCCTAATCCAAGGAGTGGGGGCGGCGCGTTTGTGCGTGTTTGGAGCCGAGACCACATGCGAGGTGGGAGGGGGTGTGGTGAGCACGAGCGTGCGCAAAAACCTCCGGCCGATTCGCAATTATTCTAAACGGTCCGGACGCATTTGCATTTTTCCCAAGAATTGGCTCGGAACGCCAGTATGGGCCCGTTCAAAGGGGTGAGGGTGGCGTGTTAGTGCGCGTTTGGAGCCGAGACCACATGCAAGGTGGGAGGGGGTGTGGCGAGCATGAGCGTACGCAAAAACCGCCGGCCGTTTCGCATTTTGTCTACGCCAACCCGGGCGCATTCGTGTTTTGCCTTTGAAATGGCCCGGAACGCCCAGTATGTGTCAAACATATATGCATATGTTATATTTGTAGGTAGGCTGTAGTGGGGTAGATAATGTGGGGTACAACCCCTTAGGGTTCTCTCCTTGTACCAAATTCACTCGATAGTTTGAGCCAATCATGCCTAGCTTCTAAGATGGTATCTAGAGCAATAGGTCCTTAGGACCTAAGATTAGGGCCCACCGGTTACCGCGTTACCTCACCTACAGCCTTGCCTGCCTGTCTGCCTTGCCTGCTGCCCATGCGCGCCTCGGCTGCACACGCGCGTCTTTTTTTTCTTTAGCGCGCCCCGCTGCTGCAGCCCACGCGCAACCCGCTGCAGCCTCGCGCGCCGCGCTCAGCCGCCCGCACGCACGCTGCTGCCTCGCGCGGAGCCCGCAGCCGCGAGCAGCCCGCCGCCGCACGTAGCCTGCAGCCGCACGCAGCCTGCAGCCACGCGCAACCCGTAGCCGCGTGCAGCCCGCAGCCGCACGCAGCCCACAGCCACGTGCAGCCCACAGCCGCGCGCAGCCCGTAGCTGCGTGCCCTGCCCATGCGCAGCCCGTCGCCAATGCGCCCTACCCTACCTGTGCGCCACCGCCTCGCCCTGCGCACTTCGCCACCCGTGTGCCACGCGTCCGCTCTAGCCGCACGCTGCCCACCTTGCGCATGCCTGCCTTGAACCTTGCCTTAAGCGCGCCTGCCTGTCTTGCGCCTTGCCTGAAGTGAGCCTGCCTGCCTTGCCCCTGCCTGACTGAGGTGCGCCTGCCTGCCTTACGCCTGCCTGCCTGACGTGCACTTGCTCGCCTTCCTGCCACCTCCTGCTGCCTTGGCCTGCTGCTTTTGCCTGCGCTGCTATAATGGCGACACTGAATATTCTCGCGTTTGAGCCTGACGGTCGCCCGATAGAGTTTGCCACTTGGCTTGACGACCTGCAGTTGTTTCTTATGATGGATGCCAAAGATGGCATTTCACTGTTCGATCACGCTTCTGGCACTGCCACTGCTCCTGCTGACAGTGCTCCTGCTCTTGACCGCTCACAGTGGCAGACTCGCGATGCTGCTGCGCGCCTCGCTATCCGCAACCACCTGCCGATCACTGAGCGCGCGCATTTTAGTCAGCACAAGACTGCTAAGGCGCTGTATGACGCTGTAGTTGCGCGCTATTCCTCCCCAGCCACTGCAGCCGTAGGTCGTCTCATCCTGCCCTACCTGTTCCCCGACCTGTCCTCGTTTACCACCGCTGAGGACCTTATCTCTCACCTCCGCGCTAGTGACGCCCGCTTTCGTGCCGCTCTTATGGACGAGTTCCTCGCCAAGAACACCCCCCCGCTATACTTTACCCTCTACATCCTGCCTCCCTGACACTCTTAGCTCGGTCAGGGACCATTTCCTCGCCAAGGACCCTACCACTATCACTCTCGACGACTTCGAGCAGCAGCTTCTGGCAGCCGAGAAGAACATTCTAGCTGTAGGTGCTGCTCGTGGCACTCCTCGCACTCCCCTCTTTGAGGGGTGCTCCCCCTCCCCTCTTGCCCCCTCCTACGCCTCAGCTGCTGCTGCAGTCGACCTCCTCGGTGCTGAGAAGGTCGCAGCTGCTTCCGCTCCTAGTGGGAAGCGCGGCGGTGGCAGGGGCGGCAAGGGTGGCAGGGGTGGTGGAGGTGGCGGCGAAGGGAGCGGTGGTGGAGGCGGCGGGGGTGGTGGAGGTGGTGGGGGTGGTCATGGGGGTGGAGGAGGTGGGTGGGGCAGCGGTGGGACCGGGAGTGGTGCAGGTGGCAGCGGCAGTAGTGGGGGAGGAGGCAGTGGTGGTGGCGGTGGAGGTGGGGGCGGGAGTGGGACCGGCCAGAAGGGGAGCTCCAGTGGGGGCCAGCAGCAGCAGCAGCAGCAGCAACGCCAGACCCCCTCTTCTCAGCAGCTCCATGACTGGTATGCCGGGCGTGGGGCGTCTGGGGGTCCTGGTCGCTGCCCCTATGTCATTCTCACTGGCCCTCGCAAGGGCCGCACGTGCAACGGCCTTCACCCTGAGTACCGCTGCTTTGCTCGGCTCAGCGACGCCTGGCGCGCCAAGTTTCCTGATGCCACTGAGTTCCCCAACTGGGCAGACCTGCTTAGGCGTGATGTACCTATCTATGATCTTGACTATGATGCAATCCTTGCTGCCATGTATGCATTGACTGTTAGTGCTAAGGGTGATCGTTACTTGTGTGTCCCGCCTGACCCAGGTATAGAGACTGCAGCCCTAGGTGCTAGTGAGTCTGCCCTCTCTGGTACTGCGTCAGCTCAGGCCTTGCACACGTTTACACTTGACTCTGGTGCTTCTCGCTGTTTCTTTCGTGACAGTACCACCGTCACCCCCCTCCCTGCACCTGTCCCTGTCTCACTGGCTGACCCCTCTGGGGGCCCAGTGCTTGCACGAGCCACCCTCGGCTGTGCTTCCGTGCTCGGCAGTCCCGTCTGGTGAGCTGTCAGGTCTCCACATCCCCTCGTTCTCTACGAACTTGGTGAGCAACACCGTCCTTCAGGATCATTGGGTTGACACCTTTACTCCTGGAGGACAGCGTGTGGCGATCTGTACGTGCTCTAGGACAGGCAACCACCTGGCCACGTTCACTCGTGAGCCGGGGTCCAGTCTGTACACCCTCACCACTGTTTCACGCTACACCCCTTTGTCTCCACAGCTGTACGCGTCTGCTCAGGTAGCTACCCAGTGTGAGTGTCGCCGCCTGTCGCACGACACTCTCTTGTGGCACCACCGCCTTGGTCACCCCTCCCTGCCTCGCCTTCGTAGCATGCACTCTCGCTTCCTGGTCTCTGGTCTTCCCAGGTCTCTGCCTGCCCTTCCTCCCTCGCCTGCGCCGCCCTGCATTCCTTGCGTCGAGGGGCGGCAGCGCGTCGCTCCTCACTCCTCCTCGTTCCCTCCCACAGAGGCTCCACTGCAGACTCTCCACCTGGACGTGTGGGGCCCCGCCCGCGTCCAGGGGCAGGGCCGCGAGCGGTACTTTCTGCTGGTTGTCGACGACTACACACGCTACACCACGGTCTTCCCCTTGCAGCGCAAGGGTCAGGTCCCTGATGTTCTGATCCCCTGGATCCGTGCTGTTCGTCTCCAGCTCCGCGAGCGGTTCCAGTCGGACTTTCCTGTCCTGCGTTTGCACTCTGACAGAGGTGGTGAGTTCTCCTTCGACCTCTTGGCAGCTTTCTGTGCGGAGCACGGCATCCGCCAGACGTTCACGCTTCCGGCCTCTCCCCAGCAGAATGGGGTTGCTGAGCGCCGCATTGGCTTAGTCATGGAGGTCGCTCGTACCTCCATGATCCATGCGGCTGCCCCCCATTTTCTGTGGTCGTTTGCAGTCCGGTACGCTGCGCATCAGCTCAACCTCTGGCCCCGCGTCTCCTTGCCAGAGACCTCGCCCACACTGCTGTGGACGGGGGAGGTTGGCGATGCGTCGCGTTTCCGGGTCTGGGGTGCTCGTGCCTTTGTCCGCGATACCACCGCGGACAAGCTCTCCGCTCGCGCCATTCCCTGTGTCTTCCTTGGTTTTCCCTCTGACGCGCCTGGCTGGCAGTTTTACGACCCCGCCTCGCGCCGTGTCTTTGCGTCTCAGGACGTCACCTTTGACGAGTCCGTTCCCTTCTACCGTCTCTTTCCCTACCGTACTTCCCCTCGCACCCCCCCGCCGCTCTTCCTCGCTCCAGGTCCTCCCCAGGTAGACCCCCTTCCCACACCAGGTCCTGCTCCTTCAGGTGTTTCTCAGGTAGACCCTCCTGTGCCTGCGCCTGTTGAGGTCACTGGTGACTCCGGTCCTGCTGGGGGTGGTGCTGGTCCTGGGAGTGCGGAGCCTGCGGGTGCGGAGCTTGTGGGTGCTGAGCCTGGGGGTGCGGAGCGTGAGCGTGGGGAGCCTGGGGGTGCGGAGTCTGGGGGTGCTGAGCCTGAGCGTGAGGAGC